TCGCATGTGTTGGAGGAGGGCGTGGGGGTGGGGTTGGAGGTGGGGTGGGGATGGGGGTGGGGTGGGTAGGGGGATGGGTTCATCACAAGTGGTCAGCTATTGTCTTGACGGATATATACTCAATAATCATTATGCTAGAGCGTGTGACTGAAAGATAACATCCATTTTCGTTGTGGTTCAATGATACGCGCATGTTAAAGTGACAGCTTATTTGTTTTCCCGAACTTCACACCATCACTTTACCGATGAATAGGACATGTTATATGGTTACACTTCAACGTGGCTGCTGATGGGGGAAGTGGTGCGATTCGGCTTCTTCCTGGACTGACGGTACTGTATATCTCGCATACCTGCCTGGTGCGGTGGGGTTCGATTCTCAACACGGGTGTAATATGTGATATGACTCCAAAAATGCTCGCTCGCTCGCTCGCTCGCTCGCTCGCTCACTCACTCACTCACTCACTCACTCACCAACCAACTCACTCACTCACTCACTCACTCACTCACTCAACCATACCACACACCCACACACCTACTCACTCACTCACTCGCTCACTCACTCACTCACTCACTCACTCATTCACTCATTCACTCACTCACTCACTCACTCACTCACTCACTCACTCACTCACTCACTCACTCACTCGCTCGCTCGCTCGCTCACTCACTCACTCACTCACTCAACCATACCACACACCCACACACCTACTCACTCACTCACTCACTCACTCGCTCACTCACTCACTCACTCACTCACTCACTCACTCACTCATTCACTCACTCACTCACTCACTCACTCACTCACTCACTCACTCACTCACTCAACCATACCACACACCCACACACCTACTCACTCACTCACTCGCTCACTCACTCACTCACTCACTCACTCATTCACTCACTCACTCACTCACTCACTCACTCACTCACTCACACACTCACACACTCACTCAACCACTACATATTCAGGTAGAAGGACAACACAACACTCACGTAGAAGGACAACACTACACTCAGGTAGAAGGACAACACTACACTCAGGTAGAAGGACAACACTACACACACAAGTAGAAGGACCACACTACACTCAGGTAGAAGGACAACACTACGCTCAGGTAGAAGGACAACACTACACACACAGGTAGAAGGACAACACTACACTCAGGTAGAAGGACAACACTACACTCAGGTAGAAGGACAACACTACACCCAACGGCAGAACGCCAACACTACACTCAGGTAGAAGGACAACACTACACTCAGGTAGAAGGACAACACTACACTCGGGTAGAAGGACAACACTACAATCAGGTAGAAGGACAACACTACACTCAGATAGAAGGACAACACTACACTCAGGTAGAAGGACAACACTGCACTCAGATAGAAAGACAACACTACACTCAGGTAGAAGGACAACACTACACTCGGGTAGAAGGACAACACTACACTCAGGTAGAAGGACAACACTACACACACAGGTAAAAGGACAACACTACACACACAGGTAGAAGGACAACACTACACTCAGGTAGAACGCCAACACTACGCTCAGTGAGAAGGACAACACTACACACACAGGTAGAAGGACAACACTACACTCAGGTAGAAGGACAACAGTACACTCAGGTAGAAGGACAACACTACACTCACGTAGAAGGACAACACTACACTCAGGTAGAAGGACACCACTACACTCAGGTAGAAGGACAACACTACACTCAGCTAAAAGGACAACACTACACTCAGGTAGAAGGACAACACTACACTCAGGTAGAAGGTCAACACTACACTCGGGTAGAAGGACAACACTACACTCAGGTAGAAGGACAACACTACACTTAGGTAGAAGGACAACACTACACTCAGGTAGAAGGACAACACTACGCTCAGGTAGAAGGACAACACTACACTCAGGTAGAAGGACAACACTACACTCAGGTAGAAGGACAACACTACACACACAGGTAAAAGGACAACACTACACACACAGGTAGAAGGACAACACTACACTCAGGTAGAACGCCAACACTACGCTCAGGTAGAAGGACAACACTACACACACAGGTAGAAGGACAACACTACACTCAGGTAGAAGGACAACACTACACTCAGGTAGAAGGACAACACTTCACTCGGGTAGAACGCCAACACTACACTCGGGTAGAACGCCAACACTACACTCAGGTAGAAGGACAACACTACACTCAGGTAGAAGGACAACACTACATTCGGGTAGAACGCCAACACTACACTCGGGTAGAACGCCAACACTACACTCAGGTAGAAGGACAACACTACACTCAGGTAGAAGGACAACACTACATTCGGGTAGAAGGACAACACTGCCCTCAGGTAGAAGGACAACACTACATTCGGGTAGAAGGACAACACTGCCCTCAGGTATAAGGACAACACAACACTCAGGTAGAAGGACAACACTACACTCAGGTAGAAGGACAACACTTCACTCAGGTAGAAGGACAACACTACACACACAGGTAGAAGGACAACACTACACTCAGGTAGAACGCCAACACTTCGCTCAGGTAGAAGGACAACACTACACACACAGGTAGAAGGACAACACTACACTCAGGTAGAAGGACAACACTACACTCAGCTAGAAGGACAACACTACACCCACCGGTAGAACGCCAACACTATTGGTGTCGATATGACCTGGCAGGCGCTACACGGAAATCGTGATCGTGTTTGTAGTTTTACCGTGAGCCAGTATTTAAGAATGAGATTGTGTTTCTGCGCCGAGCTGGGGCTGTGCTATCTCTGTTGACTTAGAATGTGTTAGGCGGCCTATTCATGCTGGAATTCAGATGTGTTGTTCAACCTGAATCAGGAACAAGCCAGTGTATGTTGATGTGTACACACAATACAAGGAGGAAAACTTAGGTTGCATAATAAATACGCAGTACAATCAGCGCACTGGGATCTATGTGGTAAACTGTAACGTCTGACCAAGGGTTCTGGTGAATCGTGTTACATCGAATACATTACAGTCAACATTCACTAATTACATGGAATGTGATATTAGTCGCATGTTGAATTATATACATGCAGTGTGATGCTGGTCGCATGGGGAATGATATATGCTTGATGCTAGGATCATGTAGTAATTGTTGAATGATACACGGGTCCGTCGATACTTGCCATGTGATGAATTATGTGTGGCGACTTTATTGTTTGTTGTTTTAACGCCGCACTCAGCACTGTTCCAGCTAAATGACGGCGCGACTTTTACGTATATCGCGTGTTGAATTATCTACATGCACTATATCTCCTCCCTCTCTATATCTCTCTC